CCCCAACCGCGCCGTGGAATATCTGCTGGAGCTCAACAACATCATCGAGAGCCAGCAGAAGCTGTTGGAGACCCAGCGGCGGCGGATCGAGGAGCTCGAAGGGCAGCTGGAGCAGCTGAGCCGAGAGAACCGGGACCTGCGGGAAGGGGACAGAGAGCGGGACCGACACCGAGACCGCGAGCGGGACCGAGACCGGGACCGGGACGGGCAGTACCACCACAAGGAGAGGGAGAGCCACTATCAGAACCGCACGGATCGGGACGGGCAGTACCAGAACCGGGAAGGCCAGTATCCCAACCGCGAGAGCCGGACGGACCGCGAAGCTCAGTACCAGAACCGAGCCGAGCGGGAGAGCCAATACCAAAGCAGAGCCGAGCGGGAAGGGCAGAACCAGTATCAGCATCGGGACAAGGATCGAGATCTACAGCACTATGGAAACCGGGATGGGCAGTACCAGAACCGGGAGAGCCACTACAAGGAGCCCTGCCAGTTGCATCGAGACCGGCCGCCGCAGTGCCATCAGACTCGGGAGAAGGAGCATGAGTATCCTCGACCAACCCGGGAAAGGGAGAGGGGGCAGCTGAGCCATGGGGCGTCGCGGAGCTCCAGTCCTGGAGCAGGCGGTGGCCACAGCACCAGTGCCAGTACCAGCCCAGCCACCACGCTGCAGAGAAAGTAAGGAGCTGGTCTGAGCCTTTGCAGCCCCTGACCTAGTGCCCTGCATCCTCCCCTCCTCCCCAGTAGATTTCCGGCCCAGGGCAGTCAGATCCAGAAGCTCCCCGGGGTCGGTGGGGGCGACCGTTGGTGGATGCTGGTGGGTGCTGGCTGAGTCCTGTACAGTCGGAGAAGCAGTGCGTGCAGCATCACAAGGGACCATGGGGAACCCTTTGGAGGATGGTGCGGTGCAGTACTTGGGAGGGGGGAGGGAAATAAAAATATAGGACTGTTCTCTTGTCACCTTTCTGCCCTACTTTATTCCCTCCGTTCTGGGCTTCTGAATCTTGTTGCAGTTACAGTTAAATCCTCCCCACCCACCCCCCACCATACATACACAGACACCAACTGCCCCCATGATCCATAATTAGGTTGATGGTCCTCTGCTCTGCCACCCTCGCTGTTGGGTCTGTTTTGTTTTCTCAGCTGACTTTCCTTACTAGATCCCTGCATTGGACCCTGCGTGGAACACCCCCCCCCACTGCAGGCTGCTCCTTGGCCAGTTGCCCAGAAGCTTCAGTGGTCCATTCTCCTTCTCTGGCCTTTCAAACTTCAACCTTACTTTCAAGCACCACTTTCCCTGATTCCAGCACATGTCTTTTTTGCCTTGCTAACTTGCCACCCTGGATTCTTTTCCTCCAACACCCTGCTGGGGCTTGGCTTTCTCATTCTTCTGCAGAGAAAGGAACACACGTACAGGAGGTCTTCTCGCTGCACAGACCACTCCAAGGAGTGCTCTCTCTTGCCAGTCTGGCATGATTCGCCCCTGCAAACCCCAAATGGTTCCTCCCCCTCCCTGTATTTTTAAATTTCACATTCATATCTTCTAAAAACTCATAATTCTTTCTTTCATATTGGTGCTTCTAAAGGATCACTTCCATGTATTTCAGGACTCTTTTTTTTCCCCCTTAGAAATCCATAGAGGGCAAAGAGTTATTCCTAAACGAAAGTACATAGCAACACCAGCAGCCTTCTATTTACTGAATCCTCAGATGAATTTTCCTATTTATTGCCTGGCCAATATCAGGGGAACCACAGGGGAGAATATTTTAATGGGTAAAATCCTCTTCTTCCCCTACTTAGTGTGTTCTTCTGGCTTTTTTGTTTGGGACACTGTTTAGTAAGGCCCTCTTCTCCTGCCTGGTTTGCGTATACTCACGTGCACTTATATCCGTGTCCCTTTTCATATTGCTAATCTTCAGCAGCTAGTCTTTCCCCAGAGTTTCCTTTAATGGGAAAGCTCGCAATCTGGACGCTTCCCACTGCCATTCAACTGGGCCTGGTGGGACGTGACTTCAGTTACCTCCAGCAGAGAGAGTTGGTGTTAAACTAAGGCACAAGGGAGTAGGCGTGCATATGATGTGGGTGTGAAATGGTACTGCATGGGCTGTGTAGTTCATTGCATGTGCTGAGGATCGAGTTCAAAAATATGATTGCTGGGGTGGGGAAGGGGTGATTTAACTGATTTAGGGTGCAAGTAAGAGCATATTTTTTGAGTCCGTTTGAGAAAGGAGCAGAGCCAGGCAGTCCTTCCAAACTTGCTGCCCTCCAGATGAGTTCAGCTGTACTCTCATCATCCTTAGCTATGCAGCCTGGAAGTGATAGGAACTATAATATATCTATTCTGGGGGAAACAGCTTAGAAAAAGTGAGTGTAGTTACTAGTTGCAAGAATCAATTATAATAATCACACATTTGGCACTATCTACATTACTACTGAGCCACATAAGATAGGCCAGCGGTATTATATTTCTAACGAAGATTTGTAGAAGAACAGTGACTTGCCTGAAGCCTTCAAATGAGCTCTTAACAGAGCCAAAATTTGCACCTATGATTTTCTTACCTTCTAACGTAAAGCTAGGGTTTGTTATAAAGCATTATTTTCAAATGGATAGTTCTGTTTCTTTCAACTACTGGATTCTGACCTCAGGGTCCTCACAGCATGCTATAATTCTTTGTCTGTGCTCCCTGTGGGATGAAATGAGCAACCCACAAACCATGTCTCTCTAAACTTCTTTCTAGTTCTCTCTGATCATGCAGCTGAAACTTGGCAACCCAGTTGTTGAAGATCAGTGGCATCACTTGAGGTGAATGACCTAATCAAACGGCTGTGTATGTGGCTGGCTGGGGATTATGGGGATGGTAGTCAGAGCTATCTGGAGGGCACCGGTTTGGGGAATGTTGCACTAGGGTGTTTGATCTAACACCACCAGAGTTGCTCCGGGATAGCTCCCGGCTGGAGAATCATAGAGATTGAATGCTAGCAGCATTGCATCTGGGAAGTTGATTCCTGAGCAGGATCCACTGGCATGGCCCACAAGCTCGGGCTGAGGGCTAAAATGCAGCTCACCCCGAACAATTGAGGATCTCGCTTCAGAAGGAATGGCAGCAGGGGTGGCTGTGTGGGGTAGCAATTGATGGATCCAGCCGCTCCTGTTTTCTCTCCTTCTCTCTCCTCATTGCCGCCTCCTTCTTCTGGTTAGAAATTAGCAAAGTGGTTTGATGCTGCAAATGACTTAAAATCAGCACGAATGTGTCTTGCCATTCCCGCCCACTCCCTACCAACACTGGGGAGGTTTAAAAAAAAAAAAGACCTGAAGTAGCAATGCGGGTGGGGTGGGGTGGGGGGAATGACTGATCCTCCTCTTCTTGCTGGCAGAAAGCTAGAAATGATTAGAGACAGTCCTCCTTCCCCAACCTAACTAATAACTATTGATTCCTTTCCTGATTTTATTCTGAGCAGGAAAATAGGTTCAGGACTACTCGCATTCTCTGTCTCTAAGATCTAGCCAGGAACTGCAGTTAGTTTAGCTTAGTAGCTGAAAGTGTGACTTGTGGACCTTATCTGAAAGCCCTTTTTCAGATTTCATTTCTGCTCTAAACTCATCAAATGGTCTTAAACTAACAATCACCTTTCAGCTCTTCATTTGCAATAGGGGGATATTGAATACCAGCTTATCTTAGAAGTCCACAGCAAGGAAGCATGAGAGAATGAGTGTATGCGCCTTGATAAATAGCCATTTGTCTCTGGATCCTTTGTATTAAGAATAGTAGCTTCCTACATAGCATGCTGAGCAGTGGAGGTTTGCCCAGAATACCCCAATCCTTATCAACCTCCAGGGTGGGTGGCTGTCTCTTCTGCCTTTCACACTGCTTCCAAACTGAGATGTTTGCAAGGGAATTTCTTTTTCATTGGTCTGCTGTGATTGCTGCATGTGACAAAACATGTGGCTGTTCGAATCTTCTCTCCAGTATTTTTTTATAAACAGCAGATCTGGGTAATCCGCTAGAAGCACTGGGCTATCCTGTGCTCCAGAGGCAGTTGCCTGGACAGGTGTGCTAATTCAGGAAACAGACTGTTCAGGATAAAACGTACCTTGCTGGATTTGGTACGTAAGAGGAGCAATCACTCAGTTGCAAAACAAATTGATCTCTCCTTCTGTGGCTTGTAAACAAGTGAATGAAAAAGAGAAGCTGTAGCTGCCTCATTACCCTTCTGGCTTTGTGCACGGCTCATCAGGTATTTCTGGGGAGTTCACCTTACGTAATGCTGGTGAGTCACAGGATCATTGGCCTCAAGACCATGAGATGAGAGGCAGAGGGAGTTAGGCGTGCTTTATGGCCAGAAATGTGGGAGGTCAAAGTCAGATCTAACACAAGGAGCTTATAAATTGGGTTAGTATTGCAACTGGGTTGAAATTCATGTCTGTGGGGCTCTGTCGTGTGCTGTAGCTAACTCTCAAACACAGCCTGCTCACGCAACATATCGAAACAAACTAGCCCAATACATTTTGGCCTCGTGTATTGTGCAAACTCAGCCCATATGGTTGGTTTATGGTTTAGCACTGTGCACACCCAGAATAATATGACTGCTCTTTTTAAACAGCAGTTATCCTGTTTCCTTTCTTCTTTCTATTCTAGGAGAGAAGAATATGTTGTGATATAAGCACGTTGTCTGTTAATATTAAAGATGAGGTTGGATTTCAGGCAATATCAGTATGCCAGCAATGGCTTGCATCATTCTTGACCACAATAACATTAGGAAATGGATGGTTACATGATGACCATTGGGTTGAAGATATGGCCAGTCAGGCGTTTTTAATCCAGTCTTAATATTAGGCAAAGAGCAGTTTTATTTTTTTTATATAATTTTGATTAAAGAATTTTTAGCAAGATAAAAACAATACAAATTTTAGAGAAGAAAGAAAGAAAATAGTGAATAGATAAGGAAGAAAATAAGAAAAAGAAAGAAAAGAGAAAAAAGAGAAAGAAAAGATTATAAAGAAGCGGCTTCTGATCTTCTTAACAGTGGTTATAAATGCATTTATATTTTGCCCTCTAAGATTACCTCATAATTTCCTTCTTTCCATAGTTTACCCTTTCTGATCATCAAACCCATAAATCACAAGTTCACTTTTTTCTTTCTTCAGCCAAAAGCCCATAAGGGGCTTCCAATCACTAATAAATGAAGTTATTGTCCTTTCCCTAATCAGACAAACAAGTCAATTTTGCCATCTCTGCTAATTCTATCATCTTCACCAGCCATTCCTCCATTGTGGGTATTTCAGAGTCTTTCCATTTTTGTGCATATAACAGTCTTGAAGCAGTAGGCAAGGAGCAGTTTTAAACCTGCCTGCATGTAGGGATGCTCCAGGTTGCTAATTTAAGGGCCAAATCCCTCCCATTAAGACCTAAAAGAAATGGATTCTTTCCCTCTCTCACGCACACCACCAAGGACAGAGGGTAACACAGGGGGGTAGAGAAACAGGGACGTAATAGGCATTAGCTGCTGCCAGCTATTCTAGACGATGGGCCCTGGATGGTGGTGTTCTTTTTAAGCAAGCACCACCTATTTCAGCATAATGCCTAGTTTGATCTGAAATGCTCACACTAAGTTCATATTCCAGGAACCTGCCACAACAGTATATTTGCCGTTTTCCCTTCAACATGCCCACTCCTTAC